TCAGTGGTTTATTTTTGCTTTTATTCCCCTTGCCATAGGAGTCAAGTCTCCGAAAACATCTTTATTGTTGATGTTGTAGAACTTCTCACCAACTTTTCTTCTTCTATATATTTTATTGTCACAGGTCTTATGTATACATCTGTAATCCGTTTGGAATTTATCTATGTATGGCACTAGAGAGTGATCTGGTCATTCTTTTATGTATGGCCTTCGACATTCCCCAACCCCGCTTATTAGGGTCGTTTACCCAGCTTTACTAAGCTGTTTTATCACAGATTAAATATTGAGACGGATGTGGAATTATTCCTGCACTTTGGTTCTGTTCCATAAACCCATGCATCTATTTTAGGCAATCCCATATTGTTTTAGCAATGTTGCTTTATCATAGGATTTGAAGTCAGATATTGTGATGCTTTCTTTACTATCCTTTTTTTTTTTTTCTCCAGGATTGTTTTTGCTATCTGAAACCTTTTCGGGTTTCATATAAATTTCAATAATTTTGTGCAATTTATTTGAAAAACATTATCATTTTGATATGTATTGTGCTAAATTTATATATCACTTTCCAAGCTAGCCATTTTGAGTGCATCTGTTTCCCCATCCATGACTATGGGATGTTCTTCTGTCATCTTATGTCACTAAATGTTTAATTAAAAATATTTTGCTCCCCAAAATTCCAGGTTCATTTATTTCACTAGTAAAGTCTACCAAATACTTAAGAAGAATCAAAGGCAATCCTAAATAAACTTCAGAAAATACAAAAGGAAAAAACTTTTAAAAACTTATTTTCTGTAACTAGAATTGCCATGAAGCCAAACATTTTACAAGAAAAGAATACCAATAGCTAATATTTCCTCATAAACACAGATGCAAAATCTTTAACAAAACATGGGCACATAAAATCTAGTACTGTACAAATGGATAATACATCATGGCCAAATGCTACTTTATCTCAGGAGTTAAGATTTCCCATTTGATGATCAATCAATCTGATTATCATAGGAGAGTAAATAGGAAAATCACATAGCCTTCTTGAGCCATCTCAAAACTGACACTTCCATTTCCAGCAAAAATCTCAGCAAACCTGGGAAGAGAAGGGAAATTCCTCAACTTGATAAAGCACATTTACGAAAGTCCTACAGTGAATCGCATACAGAGAGTGCTTCTCCCATCTCCCCTTGAGTCCTCTTCATGTGTCCTGTGCTCAACACTCAGCTTCTGTGTGCTGTATTTTTCACAGATGCAAACTTCAGTGACCTGCTCTTGGGGAACTGGAGTCTCTTTGGCCATACTTGTCCAGAGATGCATGTGCCAGGGAACTTAAATCCACTGGGCAACCTGTCATCAATGACTGACTGGTGTGGATGAATGAAAGTCATGTTCTTTTCCAAGCCCAGATAAACTCTGAAATGTATTTTTTGCACAACTCCTCATAGGATCCGGTTGGAGTAGGGAGGACTTGACCTGGACAATTTTTTTTTTTAAGATTTATTTATGCATTCATCCAGAACTAGGGTACAGGCCAGAGAGGCAGGGACAGTGAGAGGATTCGCCAGAGACAGAGTGGGGAGCAGAACAGGCAGACCGACGAAGTACACTGCCGAGGGGAGCAGAGGGCGGGTCAGGAGAGGTCTGCTGGTCTGCTGGGCCATGTGGGTCAGTTCTGGGGTAGGATCCAACTGGCACTGAAGCAGCTGTGGCTCCTTGCAGTGTTGCGTTTTCACCTGCCTCACCACCAGGGAGGGGCCTGGACAATTAGGCTTCCAACCAAACTCTCAGAAGACAACCTTGTTTTACCTGAACCTGAGTCAGGATTGGGCCTCTAGTTGCTGAGTCTATGTCTCATAAATGATTAATTAAGATTAGACTTGTTTGCTTGAAACTAGCTAAAAAACAAAAATAAATGTTTCCTTTTTAGCTGAATGAGATTGCAAAACAACCCCAAACTGTAAATTGCCCCAGGGAGACTTGTCTACTTCTTCCTCTCATAACCACACTGTGGTCATAGGAAACAGGTGTACTCCTTGGCTAGGTCATTGCGCTGCGTCCTTCACATCTTTCTATGACGTAGGTGTTATATCTTCTTCACCCGTCTTCCTTCCTTATGCGGGAATATGTTGGAACTCAAGCAGCCTCCTAGGATCACAGGTAGCATACATTTCAAATGAACCATATTTCTTAGATAAGGCATCAAATCTCATTTAACAAATATTCGTTAGGCCATTTCTACATGTAAGGAAGGGGTGTCCTTGATGCTGTATAATTCTCATTTTGGCAGTAGGAAATTCAAGATTGATCTCAGCATTTTCCCCATCTAAGGTCATGACCTTCAGGCCCCCTCCAGAAATGCAAGAAACATTAGAAGTTGCTTTTTGCCCTGGCATAGAAATGAAAGGGCTAATCTCAGTAGAATGATGGTGCCAGCAAGGCTCTGAGCCGGGGTTCAGGCAGTGCAGTAAAGTTTTGGAGCATACAGTGGCATTTTGAGGCTTTTAGTGAGGCCACCACTGCAGGGCAGGCTGCGGGCAGGGCGGCCAGGAGTCTGGTAGGCCTCCCTGCACCCTGCAAATCTGCACTTTTTCTGGGCTGTCTGGCATCTCTGGTGGTCTCTTCTCTGGTCTCTACTGTTCGCTTTGTTCTCGGCTGCTACACCTCTGTGATGTCTCCCTATAGGCTCCATCTCTAGGCTCAGATGTGCCTGATTACTACCTTCACACCAACTCCAGGGGACACATCAGGCGCTCCTGGGAGACCTCAGCTGTCCATCATTGATGCTAATGGTGGGGAGGGCAGAAAAACTAACAACTTCCATTTACCATAGAAATGGCCTAGGATACTGTTATCATTTTCTTTGTCATATGTAATTGGGACTTTCAGGGAAATTATGCAATTAAAATTTTGTCTTTTTTCTCTCTTTAAGACAGATGAACACAATATATAATAAGATATATTTTATTCTTATTGATTAAATAAAATAAATGCTAGTTTACTTCAAAATATGAAATGGGCCACAATCTTATCAGACTGGAGCTAAAGGAAAGTGAATGTGAGGGACTTCGTGGGCCTCAGGGAAGACTTCAGAGACGCTATTTCAGATAGGCCCCCAAAATAATGAGAAGGCTGAGAGCAGCGTGAAAGAAAATGACAAGGATGTTAGAATCTTGATCCAAATTGACCTTACTAGGCTGGAGCCAGTGATCAATAGGGCGAAAGCTGGCAGCAGGCTGCGGTTATAGATTGAAAGAAATGGCAAATTAAACTTATTTAGCAAGGCGTTCAGAGGGATAATGATGCCAGAGAAAGAGACACAACTCCGGAAGGAGGTACAAAGTAATGATTTCATTTCCAGCCGCTGGAATCAGAGGCAATGAGTTATTAAATGCAGTGTTTCGGCTGGAAACACAGCTGGGGCTAACGTGAGAGCAGACTAGACATGCTTTTGAAATTGACGAAAGGTCGCGGATTTTCTGGATAAAACACCAAGCCCACGACGCTGACCTGGGGGCGCAGGACCATGGCGTGGGCACGTGCTCTCCCCTCCCACGTCCTGCACAGTTGTTTGAAGGAACGAATTGCTTGGCGGGGTTGTACTTTACAGGTGTGCCAAGAAAACAGCATTACAGGCTCCATTGCCTTTAGGACAGTCGGGGTCTGGAGATGAACAGCTTCCCCTCGCCTGGTGCTCCCGCCTGTCCAGGGACGGCTAGGGCGCTGTAAATCTCGGGGAGTCGGGGTGTTGAGTCCGGAACTCCCATCCCCGAGGAAAGGCAGAAAGGACGAGATCAGAGACACTAAAATCCAGCAGAGGCAGGTTTATTCAGAAACCGACATGCAGGGGCTCAGCAGTACTCAGGACTGAGAGCCCCGACTGTTCACAGGCAGTAGTTTTTATACATTTTACAATGCCTCTATGTTTCCTATTAAGACCACCCACTCTCCTAACTCCAGGAGCTGATAGGCACATTCTTGGTCCGTGTGTGCAATCTTTCTGGCCATCTGGAGGTTTCAGTTACTTTAAAGCGTGATGTGCTAATGCAGCTAGCTAGGCGTGTTAAACATTTGTCTTAAGTCAACAGGCTCTAACCCTCGGAAGGCAAAAGGGCTCTAAACCCCGAAGGCAAAAGGGCGGTGGGGCTCGCAAAACAAATGTTTTGACTTTCTGTTAAGCGTCTTTCAACAGGGGTTGCGCGCAGTATTTTCAAACCTGTTTTACTGCGCCACGTTTTGATGATAGAGTCTTCGGGTGCACGGTGCCATATATTTTGAGCGCTCCCAGCTCGAGACCACGGGGGCCGCGGAAGGTCACCGAGGGCGCCTGGAGGGCCGTCCTCGTACCTGGGGAAGCCTGCGTGGCCCCCCAGGACCTTTCTGGGGAAGACTTTCAAAGTCATCGGACTCTGAAGCGGGCATGAAGGGTGGTGGGTCTTGGCTGCCTGGTTTGGGACCAACCGCGACCTCCAGGCCGAAGTTCAGCGGCCAGAGCCAGGTCAAGGGCAGCGA